CGGTCTCTACAACCTGTACTTTACATACATACACCTCCAGCATGTTTAAAAAAAAGTGCCAATGGTGTGTCGGATGTTCCGCCGGTGTTAGTGCCGCGCTGCCGGTTGGCAACAAAGAGTCATCGTCGCCGCCGTCATCGTCGTCGATGAATGAGTTGGACAGGCAACTTTGTTCGTCTTTGCTTGTTATTGCTGTTGTTGCCGCATTGCAATTGCCTTTTGCAAGCTTTGGTAGTTCGGCTGTCTGGCTGATGTGGCACGGTTGTACGTGGGTTTTTTTCCAAAATCTTTGCACTTTTTCTTATTACCTTTTGCTATCCGCAAAATGCGCTTTCCGTTTTCGCGAAACTTTTGCACGGGCCAGCCAGACAATGAAATACGCCACCTTCACTGTAGCCGCTGCTGCTGCTGCTACTGCCGCTGTTGCCAATGCAATTTCGCGAACTCATCGGTGGCTCCTCATACCGTAGCTATGACTCATCCTTGGCGTCGGATGTGGCGGCTATGTACTCAACACTTTTAGTGCATATGCTCCTATATATTCGTAAGGATGTATGTGTGTTTGTACGCGAGCTAACTAACACACGGATACATATCTTTCAAAGTTGCAGGCGTGATGGCGCAATGTTACTGCAGTTGTTGGTTTTTGTTTTGTTGTTGCAGTGATTAACTTGGATTTGTTGTGGATAGTTGCTTTGAGGCAATTTCATTTATTTAATTCGCTAATCGTCTGTGATTGCTTGATTGCAATGCTTGGTAGTCAGAGTTGATAGTTAGTTTTTACCTTTGCATTTTGTTGTTGTTCTTGTGGCGCTTGTTGTTGCTATGTTCCTTAATTTTGAAAAAAGTGTTGCTGCTGTTGTTTGCGTGAATTAGTGCGATATCCGGTCTTGGCGGGCTGACAGATAAACACTTAAAAGCTTCTTCATGACAAACTATTAGAAACAAATTTTCGGGACTCAGGGGGTGGTTGGTATTGCCGGCAGTTTGGAAAAAGGGTGGTCAGAGACCAAACTTTGGCATTCATACGTGGGTGACAGACTCCAAGATGACTTCTCTCCGCCTTATCAGATGTTTGTTTTTATTGTACAGAGGGTCAAAGTATCCTCTTCTATAAATCCGATTGAGGAATAGTCGCAATCAAATTTCTATGCTATGCTATAATTCGTGTTGGGCGCAATTATTCTATAGTGAGACCTTTTGATTCCCTTTCTCCCGCAACCTTTGCTGTAAAATAGTGTCAAGAACTGTGGACATAGTCCAAACTAGTTATTAATCCTGTATAAATCTGATGCTTGTTAAGAAATAAATTTTGTATTGTTTTGTGTCCAAGTGTCCGGTCCGGCTATATATTAGCAAATGTAGTGACAGTTCCATTCTTTGGTGTCTTCGAGCTCGCGCTCTGGTTTAGCGCGCGTTCATTTAGTTGTCAGTTTTTTGTAATACTTTGTGGATCTAAGTTTGAAGATATCCCCTTTCGAAATAATAGATCTTCTCTTTTAACTGACTTCAAAAAAGGGGGAGGTTATCAATTTCTCGGAATATTTTCTTTTTTATGTGCAGTGGCAGTCAAAAATGGATGAATGGTGTTTTGTTTTTTATATTTACAATATTTTTCAAGCTAAAATTTTTTTGATATTTTTATTTATAAAAATATGGTTCATGCTATATAAATCACACTTTCAAACTTTATACAGAACTTAGAAAAATTCCAAAAATTTGTATCTAAATTTCGTGCCTTTTAACCAGAATGTAAAGAAATTTTTTGGGTATGCAGTTAACAAGCTTATAAAATTCTAGTAAAATAACTGCAAGTTTTGAGAGGCTAGAAAATCGCATTAATTTTTAATCGTTTTTTTTTTTCTGACGGCTTTTTCGGTTCGGTTCGGTTTTTTCCAGATTTCTCCAACCGCAATTAGTTTATTTATTTACTTCCTATTTCCAATTAGCACTTAAGCAAAGTTCGCAGCAAAAAAGACACGTTAGGAACACACCCTTTATTTAAACTTCACGGCAAAACTTTTTTTTGCCAACTTTGCACCATTCATTATCAACACATTAACAATTTAAATACTCGTCCGTCGACCATGCTTGTTGAGGCGTGAGGTATGAGAAGGCGTGAGACATTATCCACATACATATAGACGCACTCTAGGCTATAGAAAAAACCATTGCAACAACTAGAAAAACGAACACCACAAAAACTTGTAGTTGGAAGTGAAGTGACAACATTCTTCTGTCGCTTTTGTCTGGTCATCATGGCGTCCGTTTTAATTGCAACGTCCGCTAAGTTTTACAAAGTTCTTGCCTCTGATGCGTAACGCTAAGAGGGTGAGGAAAGTTAGCGGCAACTGTTGGCCAACTCAAGCAATTGACAAGATCACGTTTGTTGTTTTTGTTATTGTCGTATTCCTTTCATTGTACTTGTACTTGCAAATTTGTGTGCTTACGAGTAATTTGCATGTCGTCGCTGGAGTCCACGTCGTTCCTCCCATTCATCCGCGGAAGAGTAGTGCAAAAACAAAAGAAATCCATACATTTAATAAAGCGAAGTTTTGTTGTGAAGAAGACAAAATTCCCACTCGACGTGCTAAATACTTGATAAGACAATGATATTTTTATTTCAAAGGAGAGGGCGTGCTTTACCGCGAAAGCTTGTCATGAATTTCTAGTTGGTAGCAGGCGAATCAACGGCCGAACAGTCGGGTAGACTTCTACAAACTTGGCTTTCTTTTGTGCAAAACCGCCGCTGTTATCTTTTTTGTCGGTTCGTGAGCTATTATTATTGGCTCATCAGAAACCGATTTGCGATATAATTTGTAGATAAGACATTAGTTATTAAAATTATTTATGCTTTGGAGGTGCTGCTTTTGTTTTTGAATAAAAATTTAATTTTCATTAGCTTTGTTCAATTGGACTTGGTTTCTTCACGCTGACTCTCTGTCTTGAATTGATTATCACCAGGGAACGGATTTTATGGAAATTGCCTGTTTTTCTGCTAAAGAGATAGAGTATATTCGATTAAGAATGTCCATGATTTAGCTTTCCCTGATTCCATGTATACACATTTGATGTTGCCTTTTTTTGCCTTTTTTAAGATATTTGCCTTTTTTTGCCTTTTTTAAGATATTTGCCTTTTTTTGCCATTTCTACCTTTAAAAAAGTGATTATAGCATTTACAATTTTTTTTTTTTAAGATTAAAAATTATACACATGCCCATGCGGCTTATAGAAGCGCAGGGACCTCTTGCCAAATTGGTGTTGGAAAAATTCAAAGCCGTTTTCTCAGCTAACGTAGGCCTGAAGACAATAAGGGGTGTGTATAAAATTGTAAAGGGCGAGGAAAACGCCCTTATTCCTGATAATATGAACGTTTCAAACGTTCCATATTTAAATTGGGCTCCATTTGTATCAACTTACGTCGAGCGCTCATTTAGTACATTCAAGGCTTTTCTTCGCGAAAATCGAATGAAAATGCTGCCAGAAAACTTCAAAATGCATCTTGTGGTTCAATGTTACTACAACTATACAGATTAAAGTTTTATGAGTTAGAAACTCGAAAGGATAAAATAGTCAAAGAGTCGAAGTACAAATTTTTCATATAATGAAACTAGTTCATAGTTTTTCTCTTTTTACTTGTAATATAAAAATTTGTAAAATAAATATATTTTTTGATTGTTCTTCGTATTTTCTGTTTTTTTAGGGCCTTATTTTGCTGTTTTGGCAATACCTTTTTGTTTGCCTTTTCCTGCCTTTTTCGCTATTTTGTTTTGCCTTTTTTGCAATACCTAGTGCCTTTTCCTGCCTTTTTCGCTATTTTATTTTGCCTTTTCCAGCCTATTTCGTTACTTTATTTTGCCTTTTTTATAGGTTTTTAGGTCCTAAAAATCCGTTCCCTGATTATCACAGTTTGAAAACTACTTGTGAATTTTAATGATGCGGCATCGAAGTGAACGCCTCGAATGTTTTATTTCTTAAAGCTTCCGTTTTGTGTTACTTCAATTCTCCGGCCGTTTGTATAGTTAGGTGTAGCAGAACGAGTGGCATAGTTACCTGAAATATCGTTTTTATCCCTGAGGAGAGTCCCTATGCCTAAATGCTCAAGTTGGTTTCGACTTCTTCAATTCCGAATTCCTTATTTTAAAGGGCTCGATGTGTTAAAATTAACTGATATTTACCTGGAGGAGACAAGGCAGGCGTTTACAAAATTTTTATTTCAAATACCTTTGGCTTCTAGGCAGGGCCTACCCAAAATCTGTATAAGTTCTATTAAGAAAGAATAAAAGAATACCTTTTTTTATCAAAAGTATAACTGAAGAGCCTGATCTTCCCTCCCTTCCGATCCCTAGTACTTACTGCGTTCTGAGTATAGTCGCTCTGTAATTATGGCACTCGAAGAAGACCAACTGAGCGCACGAAATAGTTTCGGTTCCTCAAAGAAAAAAATAAAAGAAAATATGAAGAGTCCATCCCGGAAACAATTACTGGAGGCAATTGAACAAGTTCTTATTAATACAGTGGAGGAGAGATTTACCAACCTTTGCAGTGTTTTCTGCCACCATACCATGCATGCATATGACAATTTCGGACGGACTATCATGCGAAGAAGGTAAAATGCCTTAAATGCGGCTCTAAGGATGCCAATTTTTTTAACGAATTATTTTCCAAAAAGTTAATGTAGAGACTACGTCAGAAAAGATCTATGTACTTTGGTTCAGCAAATTGGAAGCTCAGAATAACGCAGCATTGCAGTTTTTTCTACTTAATAAATTTTTCATTTGTTAACTTTGCAAGTACTTGCGAGTACACAAGGCAAAATACTCAACTTTCTTCAATGAGCCATATTGAAATGGAATTCTAAATAGTGGATTGGCAATACATTATTTGGTCTATCAGTTACTAGTTACTGCCGCCCAACTATCGATTTCAAGTAAATGTTTGCCTACATAAATTTTGTCCGTCCTCGTTTGGTGGTTTTACTGGACCGATATTGAAATCGAAAGTACTATTTGAAAAATTATTTTTCTGTAGATGACGAAAGTTTTTATGGCCTAAAATTGGTTGGTTTTTCGCATTTTGTTTTGCTTTGAAGTCGTAAACGAATACACAGACTTATTCGAAAACGAAGACGAGTACGAAGAGGAATACGAATACGAATATGATCACGAATACGAAAATAAATATAAAGACCAAGGCAAATGCGAATACGACGACAAACACGATTATGAAGACAAATACGAAAACGAATGTGAAGACAATTACTTAGATGAATTCCACGACAAAGACGAATACGAATACGGAGATGTTTACGAAGACAAAGTCGAATACAAATATAAAGTCGAATGCAAAGATGAAGACTAAAAAGGGTAACAATAAGCTTAAAACAAATTGCGGCAATATTAAAAGAACTAAAAATGAATCAAAGGAAGTTTCACTTTGCCAGCGTGGCACAGGAGCACTCTTTTTTTTTAAGGACAGTTTTTATATTTTCACATTTTGTTTTGCATCGTGCTTTTTTTTTCGCTTTCGTATTTTTTTATTCGCTTTAGTATTTTTTTGTTCGCTTTCGTAGTTTTTTGTTCGCTTTCGTATTTTTTTGTTCGCTTTCGTATTTTTTTGATCGCTTTCGTATTTTTTTGTTCTCTTTCGTATTTTTTTGTTCTCCTTCGTATTTTTTTGTTCTCTTTCGTACTATTTTGTTCCCTTTCGTATTTTTTTGCTCTCTTTCGTATTTTTTTGTTCTCTGTCATATTTTTTTTCTTTTTCGTTTTTTTTTTGGTCGCTTTCGTATTTTTTGTTACCTTCGTATTTTTTTGTTTTGCTCCGTTTTTTTTTGTTTTGCTTCGTGTTCTTCTTATTTTGTTTCGTGTTTTTTTTAATTTTCTTCGTGTTTTTTTATTTTGCTTCGTGTTTTTATACCCGAGCGCACTTGTGCACAAGGGTATATTAATTTTGTTCACATAACGGTTGTTTGTAACAGCCAAAACGAATCGAGATAGATATAGGCAAATGTATACATAAATGATCAGGATGAAAAAAGAAATCGATTAAGCCATGTCTGTCTGTCCGTCCGTCTGTCCGTCTGTCCGTCTGTCCGTGTACACGATAACTCGAGCAAAAATTGAGATATCTCAACGAAATTTGGTATGTAGGTTTCCCTTAATCCAAGGTAGGTTGGTGTTGAAAATGGGCGAAATCGGACTTTAACCACGCCCACTTCCCATATAACGGTAATTTCCAGAAATACGAAAACTGCGATATTTTAGTAACTACTGAAGATAATTCACTCAAAATTGATATTTACAATAATTTTTAGACGAAAAATAAGAATATTATAAATTTTTGGAAAATGGGCGTAGCCGCGCCCACTTATGGTTACATGTGTATATCTTGGTAACCGCTGCCCCAATTTCTTCCAAACTTGGCACAGTTGTTGGCCTTCGCATAACATACCAAATGGCCGAAAATTTTTAAAATCGCTCAATAACCACGCCTATTTCCCATATAACGGTAATTTTCAGAAATATGAAAACTGCAATATTTTAGTAACTACTGGAAATTATTCACTCAAAATTGATATTTATAATAAGTTTTAGACGAAAAATAAGAATATTATAAATTCTTGGAAAATGGGCGTAGCCACGCCCACTTATGGTTACATGTGTATATCTTGGTAACCGCTACACCAATTTCTTCCAAACTTGGCACAGTTGTTGGCCTTGGTACAGCATAAAAAACCGCCGAAACTTTTTAAAATCGGACAATAACCACGCCCACATCCCATATAACGGTAATTTAGAGAAATACAAAATCTTCGATAAATCATTAAATATTGAAGCTCATTTTTTCAAAATTGATGGTTGCAACAATTCTTTACCAAGAAATGCGTTTATGGTAAAATTTTGGAAAATGGGAGTGGCACCGCCCACTTATGATCACATATAAGTATACCGGTAACCGTTCTACCAATTTGTACCAAACTCGGTATGGTTATTGTACTTGCCACGTGTAAGCAAAACGTTGAAAATTATTGAAATCGGACTAATATAACGGCCGATTCTCATATAACGGTAAATTTAAGAATTGCTTGAAACTTCAATATTTCGAAATTGAAGGACGCTAATTTACTCAAAATTGTTACAACTCGGCTTACCATCTAGCGGAAGGTTTCGGAAGGGTGAAAAAACATATATTTAATACTTGCGCCGGGTATTTAATGTTCGGCTCCGCCCGAACTTAGCCTTTCTTACTTGTTTATTTTGCTTCGTGTCGCTGCTAGTAATTTTTATCCCTCAAAAGTCACTTTTTTAAACGTGCCTGTAGAGCTAAACCGAAGAAACGTATGCAACAATATTTCTCTAATACATCGATAAATTGGTTACGTCACTTCTTACTTCTTATCTTCCCGCCCCAGCTTCGGCTTCTAAATAATTTAAGTCTAATAGAAGCAATAAATACAGAATACTACTTATCTTCCCCAAAAATATTTTCCTCTTATTCATTTTAGTATAAACAACGAAAATCGTACGATAAATTTGGTATCTTGCCAGCCAGTAAATTTTGACGCATTTCTAATTAAACGTTTTGGAAAATAATCGCCTTACATTAACTATTATTTATGAAGTCAATTAATAAAGTGACACTTAAAACGGAAAGGAACAAATAAAAATGAAGCGCCAGCCAAATTTTTATTTGGAATTCCTTTTGTACGATTAAATCGTAAAAATTAACTTCATCAATTTCTTCAATCAATCCCAATGAGACGTTGTTATATTCGTGTGTTTTGTATCATATCTCCACTTAAATAGTTTACCTATTTCTCAATATAAATAGTACAAACGTATATCGTCTGCCATTAATTTGCCTATTTTAAATTATCTTATCAAAGTGACCGAACGCCAGCCATGTCGCAGCTTATTCGTCGTTCACTTGCATGACGGCCCCGCCTCTAGGCTCGCACCTTGCCGTTCATAAATTAATTTCAGCTAGAAATATCAACATTATTATTACATACAGACATCTTGTTTGTGGGTTGTGGGTGTGTGGCTGGCTATAAATGCCACATGTACTTATATCTATACAACGAATGCGCTGCATTTATGGGCGAGACGAGCCAAGACACACATAGATGTAGAAGACAAAACGGATGGCTGGCAAAAGCAGCAACGGTGTCTATGTCTGTCGAAAACATTTTTAAAGCCATACCAGACAAATTGATCGCATCCAGACGACAGACGAAGAGCCATTGATTTTTTGACGAAAATATTGTTGAATAAAATATTCGAATTAGAAAAGTTTTTTCTCAATTGTTTTTCTTTGAAGTCTTGGGAACATGCGATATTGTTGTGTTGCTACGGCGTCAACTTTGCTTTCTACTGAAAAACATTTGTGTTGAAAAACAAAATAACAACGTCACTGTTGTCGGTTGTGCTGGTAGCTGAAATTATTTTTTTATTCAAGCTATTGAAATATGTAGACCAGGAGAAACACTTTATGAGGTTGACTTTTTGACAACTAGTTTGCAGTTAATTGGAGGTGACGAAGGTTACGAAAGGATGTACTTTATCTACATTCTCTGGGAAACAGTTTATGAGGATTGCCGGAAATCAAAAATCTCCATGTTAATTTTGAGCCATACGCTATACTGGCACCCGGACATTGCGTGCGTGTTTTAGATAAATCTTCTTAAACTAGTCTTAAATCGTCCGTTAATAAATTGGGTGTAAGAGAGGGAGAAGAACTGCGAACTAGAATATCCTTTGTATCCCTATCCCGTAAAACCCAAGGTGTACTATCAACTTCCCTAATGAATGCTCTCGGCACTTTCTCTAATCGTTCTCTCACCTTCTACCTTAGAGAAGCACATTAGATCGAATCGCTTTCTAATCGTTCTAAGATGAATAGGATTTTCATATGCCCTAGGCTATGTAGGTAGGCTCATTTCTTTTACATACCTAGTCTGGAGTTTTGAATGGTATTTTTTCCGAGGCAAATCTTCTCACCCATTAAATTAAGCAAAAAACATTTTTTTTAAATCAAATAACCTCGAAAAACTTGTTTTACAAATATTTGCCCATGCAATTCTTTCGGGTCTGCTTCCCTTGTAAAGGATTTCCCCTGTAGGAGGATTTGGTTGCAGTATACTCAAGAAAAAGAAGAACTCAAACTAGACCTACTATCACTCTGGCAAATATGCCCAGATTCTTGATCTTCACACCTTTTTCTTGCCAATGACATCCTAGACAAAATCAAATGGAATCACGGCAAAGATGACAAGGTAATAAGGTTACCATTACCTTACCTGCTCTTAATAGCAAAACTCCATGATCACGTTTCTCTTCCATGTAGGGTATATGTGCAACTGAAGAAATTAAAATCTTCTGGCATGTTTTTTTCTTCATTTGCCTGCCTATTTTATGTGCCTGCTGCCGCTGCCAACGCCTTCTTTCACTATACATGCATAAGTGTATTCATGGCCAGCTGGGGAGCTGCTTAATAAAATTATTTAAATGATAAATTCTTCTACTAATTTGTCTCGTTGAAAAGACATAAGCATTCTACATTAGTGACACACAAATACACCAACCAGCTCATATGCAGGCACGCCCAAAAGGAGTACTACGTATGTACTATGTATGTATTAAACTCCTGCGCAATTCCATCTAAAGGGCCTAACAAGACATCCGATCGCCGCGCAAATACTTTCCCTCCTTTACTCATCGTTTGGGTCAAGTGTGAGTAAGCATAAACCAGTTTCTGCAAGCGTACGTAAACTACCGATCAATAGCAAGACGCGTAGAGTATTTACTTTGCCTTCCGCAACTACTGCGAGTAAAAGGTATTTGACAGTAGAGTACTCTACTGGTAGTACTTGAGTATTTTCGAAGAAAACATACATTTGTGGCAAGAATGATAGAAGAATTTTCTGGATCGCGCATTTGTGGTATCTGAAAAAAACTAAGGACAGGAATGTAATGGAGCGATGAAGAGAGCGACGAGCAAAACGTACTTTCAACTAAAATGCTGATATAAATACCTAAGTACATATGTATGTATGTGCATAGATACATACATATGTGCATAGATACGTATGTGCATAGATACATACATATGTGCATAGATACCTATGTGCATAGATACGTATGTGTATAGATACATATATATGTAAGTGTCCGCATATATTTTTTCTCGTCACTTGTTCTGTCGCTTCACTGCAGCAAAACCAAGTTGTGGGGAAAACCCTGACAATATGCGTACAATTGAAACCATGGGTTCATATTAAATATATTTATGTATGCATGGACATATGTACATATGTTAAAATGTAGGTTCGATTTAAAAAAATCGGATGAAGTTTTTCT